CTGTAATCCCAGCCACTCGGGAGGCTGAGGCAGGAGAATTGCTTGAACCCGGGAGGTGGAGGTTGCAGTGAGCCGAGATGGTGCCATTGCACTCCAGCCTGGGCAACAACAGTAAAACTCTGTCTCAAAAAAAAAAAAAAAAGGAAATGGAGAGAAGTCTAGAATGAACCCTGTAGTGTTGCACTGAAATTGGAGATACTATATGAACTCATGAATTATTTCTATACACATACATATAAACATATTTCATAGCTGAGAGGACCTGGAAGCAATGAAATCTCAGAAGCAATGAGATATCTAACCTTGGTTTCAAAAAATCTTTTTTTTTTTTTTTTTTGGAGACAGGGTCTTGTTTCATCACCCAGGCTGGAATGCAGTGGTATAATCTTGGCTTGCTGCAACCTCTGCCTCCCAGGCTCAACCAATCCTCCTGCCTCAACCTCCTGAGTAGCTGGGACTACAGGTACTTGCCAACACACCTGGCTAAAAAAAATCATTTTCTAATAAAAGGAACCAATAGTCCCTGGGAAATTTGTAGATTCCAGGACTGGGGCAGGGAAAGTACCGTATCAATGTGGAACACCTTGCAGTGCCAGAAAATAAATAATAAAAATAATAAATAAAGAGGCCACATTGAAAGGACACAGGAATCAATTAGAAGGGGCTCCCAGTGGCCAAATGTGTGATAATTTCAGCGAAAAAATGATAGCAATGAATATATAACCTATAGACTAAAAGAAATTATAACCTACAGAAGAAATTCCAGTCTATACTTACAGAAATAATTTAGTAAATAAATAAATGGGGAAGAAAAATATCTTTCTAACAGTAAGATTCTAATGAATAAGGCCGGGTAAGGTGGCTCACGCCTGTAATACCAGCATTTTGGGAGGCCAAGGTGGGCAGATCACCTGAGATCAGGAGTTCAGGACCAGCCTGTCCAACACGGTGAAAATCCATCTCTACTAAAAATACAATTATTAGCCGGGCATGGTGGCGCATGCCTGTAATCCCAGCTACTTGGGAGGCTGAGGCAGGAGAATCGCTTGAACCCAGGAGGCAGAGGCTGCAGTGAGCC